GACGATGTCAATAACGGAGGAAAAATGACCGCCGCGTAACAAGTGACGACCATTCAAGAGACTCCAGCTGATTGATCAGAACTTACCACACCCCCAGGTAGCAACACATAATCTTGGAAGCTGAATCCAGTCAGTTTGGTTTATACGCATTGGCAGATCTAGCTGAAACCTGGTCAGTCCTGCGATAATTTGCTCTGTCAGGTGAAAAGTTTTATGCACATTCATCAGCGTTTATGTTCACATGAGCGGGCATGTTAATAGACACAGAGCTCCTCCAAGGCCAGATTTCATGGCGTATCCTTTGCTCATGGTTGCGTAACTACTGTATTATAAGTACTATACTTATATTCACACATCCGCGCCGGCTGTGGTTACATGGATATTCGATGTGTCCATGCAGTGAAGCTCTCATTGACCGGTTTTAAGGAGAAATAAAACTGTTGGACTGTTGCTTCAGGTATAGCAGTATCATTTGTTATTCTGATCCGGAACCAGTGACTTGAAATTTTCGAAATAATTTCGGCAGTCTGAAACGTACGCATAAATCCAATTTTCTGATTTATAGGGTTCAGAGAAAGCCAGATCTCAGCTGCTGATCCTGGACCGAGGTTTCGATGCGATATCACCTTTACTGCATGAACTTACTTTCCAGGCAATGGCCTATGATTTGTTTGATATCGAGAATGACGTCTTCAGGTACTGTTTTGTTAATTTATTGCTGCGTCTGTGTCTTTTAGGCTCCGCAACTTACACTTTATGGATCTCGGGTCTACTGGATTGATCAACAACGCTGGACAGTTCACGGACTCATGTTTTAGTCCCGCTAGAATTGAAACTGTTTTTAACTTATTGAGTGAGAATTGGTTGTCAAATTAATCAACAAATCCAGCAGTACCTTGTTTCGCTGCTTTAGTGAGAAACAGCGGCAGTTTCAAACTTATTACAACTGTATTATCTGACTATAAAGATTCAGTAATTCTCAGTAATTCTTCCTGCTGCATGGTATACGTCGCTGAAAGCGGGAAAAAGCCATATTATCGAATATGAAACAAAACTTGATGGAGCATATACTCGTAATTCACTTTGAAAATCTGAACTGATGAAGCAGTGGCAGTCAGTTGTTGGCAGACTTTTTATTCCTCTAAAGCAAATCTATTTGTAGGAGGAAAGCTGTTACTTAAGAATTTGAACCGAACAATTCAGTGCAGTTGTTCGTAATAACAGTGAATAAATTGTGGAATCATTCCATCATGCCGTCTGCATTCTAATCGAATCAGCCATTCGCACGAGAACCTGCATTAGGGATTTCCCACCTGGTGAATCCGTTTTTCAGCTTAAATCTTTAATTTCTTGCCTAAGGCTGGTGTGCTGCTCCTCGTTGATGATTAGGTTCTTATTTATAGGAAAATGATCCTACCACAACAGAAAACCGCTGAGGCAACGTAAAACTTCAACTGCACGTGTAGCGACAGCTGTTTTAAGGAAACGGGCAGAATCTTAGAGACAGCTTGCGAGAGATGACATATATGAACAGATCCTATGAGAGGCTTCAGCCATAGCGGATCATAGTATCACTCATAACCACGTCACTTGTTGATACCTCAGCAAAATACTTCGAAAAGAAGGTGCTTGAAGATTTACGAAGCAGTTATAGCGGAAATCACCAACAAGTTGGAAGAGACCAATATAATAAGCTCGGCCTGGTTACTGCTACGCCATGACGGAATCTAGTGTTTAGCTGCTTAGCCGTTATGTTTCATTTTTTTGTTCCGTTTCGAACTTTGCCCTTATATAGTTGATCACAATCCGTTC